CCCCTCACTTTTGAGCCAAAAACTCAGAATCCTCTCTTACCCGAAAATAAGCTACCTCCCAAATTTTTCAAAAATTTTTAACAGTTGTTATATATAAAAGGCAAAATTATACTAAGTAAATATATATTTTGACCATAATAGAAGTTATTTATAATTTAAAAATACATATATTCTGAAAGTTTTATACAATTTGGATAACTTTTTATTAGTACACTTTTACATTTTAAATTTGAATTTAAAATGCAAAAGTGTACTAATAAAAAGTTATCCAAATTGTATAAAGCTTTCAGAATACATGTATTTTTAAATTCTAAATAACTTCTATTATGGTCAAAATATATATTTACTTAGTATAATTTTGCCTTTTATATATAGAAACTACTTTTTCATATATAAAAACTACGTTTACTTAATAAAAAATGGGCAAAAACCTCTATTACTCGAAAATAAGCTACTTCTGAAATTTTCTTGCCCAAAAATGGTAGCTTATTTTCGGGAATATACGGTATTCTATAATGTTAACATGTTCTATAACAATATTATTAATGAATATTCGCTTACCTCAGATCGGATCTGAGACAGGTTTTTTTTTTGTTTATTTTTTTATTTTTATTTTTTTTTTATTTTTTTTTGTGTTTTTTTTTGTTTTTTTTTTTCTGATAACCAAATCATCATTTTGCCCTTTCATCGTATTGCCCTTTTACACATTACTCTTTTATCACGTCACCTTTTATTTGCATAAGATAGATTTCATCATTGAACCTCAACTACAAAAAGTAATTGCAAAAAAATAAGCATATCAAATTCATTGTGTTTTGCATGGTAGTAATCACAAACACATCTCCATATGCCCAACTATATCAGCTGCCGGAGTATACATACCACCATTAATAATATACAAAAACAAGCGAATGATTCCAGGCCTTTTAAACGGTATACCCGCTAGTACTATTATGGGGTTTACTGATACAGGGTATATGTAGGAGAGCCTATTTAAAAAATATATAGAGCATTTTGTTAGATTTATTTCTCCTGCTCATCTTATTTTATTTATTCTTGATGGACACAAGAGTCATGTTAATTATATTTGTGTTAATTTCTGCTATGAAGAAAATGACATTATTTTTTACACTCTTCTATCATATACCACTTATGTTTTACAACCTGCTGAGTTACCTTTTGCTTATCTTAAACAAGCATATAGCACCAAATGTGATAAGTATCACACTAAAAGTGGCGGCAAATTAGTTACAAAATATATGTTTGCTAAAATTCTTGGACAAGCCTATATTAAAGCATTTACCCCACTGCAATATATAATTCCTTCAAGGCAATAGGAATATAGCTCTTCAATCCCAATGCTATTAGTTCTAGCCATTTAGAGCCTTTATTGCCAACACATAGATTTAATCTACAAAGTTCTGACCTGCCTGCTGCACTAGCTTTCTCTTCTAGTTTTATTTTAAGTTATCTCTGTTCAACTTCTACAAATGAAGAATTATGGTTGGAAATAGAATCGCTTAATAATAGAGTTGAATATTTAGAATCAGAGTTGGAGCTTTATAAAAATCCTGGTACTAGTCCTTTGCAACTAGTACTTAAATACTCTTTGCAGCATCATTCAAAGCAGAATAGAAAATCAGAAACAAATAATTGGCCTGAAACTCAGCAGCTGAAGAAAAAACGAAAGACTATACCTTTTTCCTGACTTCTTACTGGTAAAGAGTTGTTGTAGTTGTTGAGAGAAGTAGAAGAAGAATTGAAAAGAGCAGCCAATGAAAAAAAAGCAAAGAAAAAAGGTAGCCACCCAATGTCGAATAGTACAGGAGATCAAGAAAGCACAAAAGCAAAAAATTCATAAACAAAAAAAGAAAGAAAAAGAACATATAAGAATGGAACAACAACATATTAAGGAGAAAAAACGGTTTGAAAAAAAAAAAGATATAAAAAAAGCGGTACTACCTGATTATATATTTTGCACTATTTTTGGTCATTATTTTGATGATCTCGATTTTCAGAAAAAATTTTACATATTTAGAAAAAAAAAATTTTTTAAATTTAATTCAAGTTAAAATATACCTACTTTAATTAATTTAATAAAGTTTTCCTATTGGCACATTTAACTGTACTATAATACCCATACCTACTTTAATATTTGAAACTAAATTTAAAAAATCTTGTTTAGAAATATATTTTATTATTTAAAATTTCTAAATGAATATTATTCTATTTTAACTTAAGAGATTTTTCTGTTTTTTGTAAATTTTGAAAAACTTTATTAATCTTAGAATAATTAGAATTATTTCTATTTGGTTCTAAATAAGAAGATAATAAGCAGTGTTGTATATAGGATATGTCCATACTATATTCATACTATGTCCAATGTCCAATGTTCAAGATTGTCCAAAATTATCCAAGCCTATGTCCCATATTTAAATAATTAATAAAGTAATTTAAAAAATTATATAATTATATATATTTTTAGATGCTGGATTCATTTATGAAAAAATTAATATAGACCTGCGGTTGATAGCATAGCGGTTATGCTCCCAGGTTGCAAATCGGATGGTTGCCGGTTCAATTTCTCCTAGCGGCAAAATAATGAAAACCCAAATATGGAAGTGAAACACCGTGGGGTACAGGGAACTCAGGATATCTACGGATAGACGTATTCGGGGAATAGTTATTCCGAGAAGTTGTGGCTGTGAAGCGAGGCATGTTAGAACCCCGATTTGGAATAACTGAAGTCATGAGACATACTGTGAGGCCAAAGTCTGAGAAGATACTACAAGAACTCGTGGCACCACCAGATTGGCTGGTGAAATCCCAGTCTA